TTACAATATAAATACCACGTAATACCTCTCGCAACGAGATGCAAATGCAAGAGCCTGAAAGAGTACAAAATGAGACTCTGCGGGGTGAACTCTACCATGAAGGAAGGTGCCACTCAGGAACTGTTGGCACGCAACTTCATAAGATTGTAGGAATATTCCTCCTTCCAATAAGCCCCACAGGCTGGAAATCAAATCGATCTGGAGCTGGCAAAATGTCAACAGAAGCTTAGTCAATTCCCTCACCCTCACTGCCACTCCGGTCACTATGACAAGAAACTTGTTCCCAAATTGAGAAGAAGGGCTGTAAAGGTTTCCCCCTTGATCACCGCCTGAGAGATTGAATGGGGCGGGCACCAGGTGGTTACAAACAAGGCAGCTAGGCACTTCTCATGAGCTGTTGCACCCACTCCCTGCTGCGTGTTTTGGAGCTAAATAAAACGATGCTCTTGCCTCTTGGTGGGCCCAAGGTGCATGGGCTGGTGATCAGAAGAGAGGTTCCAAAGGACTCATAGTTGCGCACACCTGGAGGTGCGACAGGGTTGCAACAGGGTTGCAACAGGGTTGCAACAGGGTTGCAACAGGGTTGCAACAGGGTTGCAACAGGGTTGCAGCAGTCGCAAACGATATCAAACGACATCTTGAGTTGGAACCTGCAGCTCAGCACAAGGAAGGAGAGTAAGCGAAACTAGAAGCAGTCCATATCTGAAGCAGTGAAGCAATAGCAATAAACTACAATACAATGGTGAAATGAAATGCAATCGAAGAAAGCCAGTTGGAAGGGAGCGCAATTGTTTCCACAACAGGATTCCATGTCTGGTGACTTTTTTCATGTCTTTTCAACCAACGGGACCACGACCAATCCAGAGAAGTCGTTACTTGCTATCTGCATATCGCCAGTGCACGCAGCCCGCCAGGTAAATGACAGTAAAAAGGTAGTTGGGCAAACCTATCCTGAGAAGGATGCGAGATCAAACCCACGCAATAGTTTGAAATGCCGAGTCTGACAAAAAAGGAACAAAGAAAGTAGGACGTGAGGTAAGAATTTTGGACTGAACAGGATGGAAGTCAAGCTACCGAGAAATCCGGACACTGTCAACTGTGCGAAAAGATTGAAACGACTTTAGACAACAAGATCAACATCTGAGGTAAGTGACTTTTCTTACCCTCAATCTGCGAATCTGTACACCAAAAGCCAACAGCGGGTTTCAATATAGCGTCACGATGGGTCCTGGATCCTTGCTCTTCACAGTATTTTACGATGTAGAGTCACATTCATTCTACAATTAGCAGCAACTATAGCATTTACAATCATTTACGCTTTCAATTCTGCCCATTGACACAGGCGACTCACACTGCTCTCCTTTTTATGGCAATCAGTCGTCGCAACATGCAAACACTATATAATAATATTAATCATCGAAGGAAGTTTAGAAGTCAAACTTCCGACAATATGGACAGATGAAAAGCAGAGATGGGAAGAGTCAGAGAAGAGAAGAGAAGAGAAGAGAAGAAGAAAGAAGAAAGAAGATCAACTGAGAAAGTCTCCGAAGAAAGAAGATCCAGGTGCCCGAAAAGGTAGGAAAGTCGCGAAACACTGTGTTTTTCCAATGATTTGTGGCTCCGGAGGGTCGAAAAGTAGGCTCGCTAAAGCGGCGGGTGCGGAGCCATGTGGTCAGATGAGAGATGAAAAGTTGCACGCCGCTGTGGCGCGAACCACATTTCCAAGTCAAAATGTACAAAACACCTCAGCTTCGGAGCACTTTTAGAAGTTGCGATGTCGAAAAAGTGCGCGCCGTTGTGGCACGAAGTACAATTCCAAGTCAAAATGTACAAAACACCTCAGCCTTGGAGCACCTTTTGAAGTTGAGATGTCGAAAAATGTCGAAAAAGTGCACGCCGTTGTGGCGCGAAGCACATTTCGAAGTCAAAAGTGTAAAAAACTGCTGGGTTCATGGCACTTTTGGAAGTTAAGATGTCGAAAAAGTGCACGCCGTTGTGGCGTCAAAAGTGTAAAAAGCTGACGGGTTCAGAGCACTTTTGGAAGTTGCGATGTCGAAAAAGTGCACGCCGTTGTGGTGCGAAGCACATTTCCAAGTCAAAATGTTAAAAGCACAACATGTTCGGACCACTTGGACGTTCAGATGTCGTTTCGCGTGGCAGGCGCAAGGGATTGTGCACCTTGTCAAAAGTCAGCAAAATGTGAGGGCTTTGTAGCATTTCCAGAAACGATGGCAGGCGTGGGACATTTGAAGAGGATCTGCAAAGATGCATTTTCCGTGGCAGGTGCAATACAAAAGACATGTTCGTCAGAGCTGTTAGGAGGTCCGGGTGCTGCTTTTCTGAGAGGGGTTGCATTTTGGAGCATCAGATCTTCAGGTTTGCTGAGATGATTTTGCCTGACAGGTGCAGCACTTCGTATGACCTGGCATCACTTTTTCGTGGCAGGCGCAGTGGAAAAATCGCAAAACAAATTGGTACGAGGCCGTCAGCTCTGCACTCAACTTTCCATTTTTGAAGGAAGTCTCGCAGAATTGCTTCGTTTTTGGTGTTGTCAACTTCGAAACTTGAGGAAGTCTCGCCGAATTGTTTCGTTTTTGATGCTGTCAAGTTCAAAATTGAGGAAGTCTCGCAGACTTGCTGCGATGTTGCCCAGATCAAGAACTGAGGAAGTCTTGCAGAATAGCTTCGTTTTCAAGCTTGCAGATAGGCAGATAGATAGATAGATAGATAGACAACTACAACTGCAACTGCAACTACAAGTACCATTGCACTACACTACTACTACAACTACAAGTACAAATATACTACGCTACATTACACAACACTAGTTACACTAATTACACTACATACACAACACTAATTACATCCAATTGCACTGCACTACACTACACTAATTACACTACAACAACAACTACTACTACTACTACTACTACTCCTCCTCCTCCTACTCCTACTCCTACTCCTACTGCTACTGCTACTGCTACTGCTCCTACTACTGCTACTGCTCCTACTACTACTACTACCACCACTACTACTACCACCACTACTACTACTGCTACCACTACTACCACGACTACCACGACTACCACGACTATACCACGACTATACCACGACTATACCACGACTATGCCACGACTATGCCACGACTATACCACGACTATACCACGACTATACCACGACTATACCACGACTATACCACGACTATACCACGACTATACCACGACTATACCACGACTATACCACGACTATACCACGACTATACCACGACTATACCACGACTATACCACGACTATACCACGACCACCACCACCACCACCACTACCACTACCACTACCACTACTACTCCTCCTCCTCTACCACCACCACCACAGCTACAACTACAATTACAGCTACGCTACATTACACTACAATACACTAATTAAACTGCAGTACGTTACAGCTACAAATACAAATGCAACTACAACTACACTACATTGCACAACACTACACTACGCTAATTACATTACATTACACTACAACTGCAACTACCACTACATTGCACTACACGACGCTACACTACAACTACAACTACACTACAATACACTAGACTACACTACACTAAACCACGCTACAGTACACAACACTACAGTACACTACAATACACTACACTAATTACATCACACCACAACTACAACTGCAACTACACTACACTAATTAAATTACACTACATAATGACATTACAACTGCAACTCCGCTACACTACAACTACACCTACAACTACAACTACAGTTATGAGATACTTTGGTAGCCAGAGACTGGAAAACATCTTTTAAGTTTTTTATCATTTATATATCATTTGTTTATCATTTTGTGTTATCATGTTTTTATCATGTTTTTATCGTTTTTTCATCATTTGCGGGTTCCGGGCTGCTTCCGCGAGGTTCCGGTTTGCTTCCGGGCTGTGAAAACGATACACGTGCTGGGAAATGATCCACAATTTTCAAAAAAATAATGCAAAGGTTGGGAAATGATAAAAAACAATAAAAAAATGATAAACAAATGATAAAAAAAATGATAAATCTGGACCCCGATTGAAACATGGAGCAAAAATATAGAAAATGCAGAAAACCTCGGGTTTTTATCATTTTTTTATCATTTCTTATCGTTTTTTTATCATTTGCGGGTTCCGGGCTGCTTCCGCGAGGTTCCGGTTTGATTCCGGGCTGTGAAAACGACACACGTGCTGGGAAATGATCCACAAATTTTCCAACAAAATAATACAAAGGCTGGGAAATGATGAAAAAACGATAAAAAACGAAAAAAAAAAATGATAAACAAATGATTAAAAAAATGATAAATCTGGACCCAGATTGAAACATGGAGCAAAAATATAGAAAATGCAGAAAACCTCGAGTTTTTTTTAATCATTTTTTAATCATTTTTTAATCGTTTTTTCCATCATTTGCGGGTTCCGGGCTGCTTCCACGAGGTTCCGGTTTGATTCTGGGCTGTGAAAACGATACACGTGCTGGGAAATGATCCACAAATTTTCCAAAAAAATAATACAAAGGTTGGGAAATGATGAAAAAACGATAAGGAAACGATAAACAAATGATAAAAAAATATTGAAAAAATGATAAATCTGGACCCAGATTGAAACATGAAGCAAAAATATAGAAAATGCAGAAAACCTCGAGTTTTTATCCTTTTTTTTCGTGTTTTTATCATTTGCGGGTTCCGGGCTGCTTCCGTGAGGTTCCGGTTGGATCCGCACTGGTTCCGGAAGTCCGCTTTGATTAAAAATGATAAAACAAAATGATAAAAAAATGATAAATAACCTATTTTGCTTGCCCCCTGTGTGTGGCTGTAAGTATCTCATAAAACTACAGCTGCACTACACCACACTACATCCAGCAGTTGTGGTGAAGTGACCACTGCAACCATTGCAACCACTCCACAAAACACAACTCCAACCACCTTTTGGTCCATCAGTGGATTCGCTCTTCCATCCGTGAGTCACAACAACCAACCCTTCCTATAGGTTTCCTATTTTTGAAACTTCCTCCGCCGCCTTGTGCGGTACTACTGGTATACTATATGTAACTATAACAGTCGTACTTGCCCTTTCCTGAAAAATAAGGCGAGATGGCAGGAGGTATGACCAAGCGCTCTCGCACGGCGTCATTTTCCAAACTGGGCCACCATACTTGAAGGCCAGGGCTCCATCTCAAGGCCTGCGACTAACTTGGCAGTTTGATCTGAGGGCAAATCCAAGCGCAAAAAGAGGCGCTGAAAAGAAGCAAAAGGTCTTTGGAAAAACCATGGAAAATAGCAGTTTTCAGGATCTTCCAGAGGAGTTTACTGTATGCTTGGCATCCACCATCATTTTAGACTACAAGAACTCTGTATTCGCGCCATCCATGGTACAAATATGTTAGAAATATGATGCGGAAGCTCTCTGAGCGAACTGCGGCACGCATCCTGCTTGGCAGTCTGGGTCTGCCAACTCACTGGGCTTACAGATGCTGGAGAATAGGGCGAAGATGCGCCCGGTGAAGTGCCGCTACCTCGCCCGGCAAACTGCAAGAGTGGAGGCACCAAAGGAACCCTCACGCAATACGCAATGCACAGCACATACGTAATGTATGACATGGATTG